TTGCCATATGAATACTCTGTAATTGTAGCGTTTTACAATATGCATAAAGCTGGTGAGATAATATGCCTTTAACACTGGGTAGTGTGACTCTGCACGTACTGTTGCACCAACTGTGTATAATCCAAAGTAACAGACATCCGTACACCAACTGGTGTATTCATACTATTTATAAAATAATATATATACTTTACATTATTGAATATTTGTTCTTTATTTCATTTTAAAAATAGAATATTTACATTATTTTACAGATTATAGTACAATTGTGGCAGATGGGCTATATTTTTTTTATACAATTTCAAAAAATTAAATTTAATATTTTACATAATTTTTTCCCCGTTTTCTCACACACTAGTAACTTACATAAATATAATGTTATTTTAGGGGTGCGTTAATGCATAAGGGCATGTCAATTTAACACATAATTTTGTGATACTGGAGAAATGAATCTCCATACACACAGTAATTTGAAAATAAATTGACTGAACCTGGCTTAATATGACAATGGTGACACCTTGTCCTGGTAAACAGCATTGCCATGAACTGATAAAAACGCACAGAAAGCACCACGAATCTGGTCAAATTTAAAATACAACACCTCAGGTGTTATCTAAATCAACTTTCTAATTAATTTCTTAAAACTGTTGAGTTGAAGCAGATAAAACTAGTTTCTCTGAACATTCTGTATTCTCCAACACTGCACAGACAACTGTTTTCAATGCAAAAACACAGAAATCTAAAAAAGTTAAATCAGATCATGCTAGAACCTAAACCCCATATGTATTTATTTGTGATATAGTTCTTGAAGTATATAGAGAAACCTATTTTTCTTTAAGCTAGCAAGCAATTTTAGCTACATTGTAGTTTTGCTAATTTGCAAAGCAGCTAATTCACCTAAAAAGTCTAAAATTACAGTATTTTGATGTTGATGTTGCTTATACACATATTGAGGAAAATTCTCATAATCTGACATGCATTTACACTTAAGCATGTGTCAAAAAACGGCTATTTTTAACCAATTCAAAAATTTTAACTGTTCGAGCAGCAAAGTATTATGTTTGTCACAAAAATAAATCTGCCTAATTTTGTCCATACATATATTTTTGAAAAAATTTGGTCAAAAATTAACAAAGAAATTAAAGAAATACTCATAAAAATGCTGCGTACCAATATTTAAACAATTTGTCATGATTTGGAATATTTTGTTAACTCTTTTTCATCCAAATTATCTGTAAATTTTACTCCAATATGGTAGACCTGGTCCTTGGTTACGCATCTTAACATAATCAAATTTAATGAGAAAACAATCACAGCAAATAAATTAATAGGCAGTGTTAATTTGTTTTATCCAAAAGTGTTGACAAATACTAAACAAGCAGCCTCTTGGCTGAGATAGCTGTTAGCAAAGCACATTCCAAATAAAGAATTGAAAATATTATCACAAACTAAACAAATCTGAGAGGTCCACCTGTAGTACCTTTACTGGTATGTATAATATCAAATCAAACAGACTTGTGTTTTTTAACAAGAAGTCAAAAATATCACTTTTTACCTAAAATGACAAATATATTCATCAAAATTAGAAAATTGAAGATATCATCACAAAATGAACAAATCTAAGAGGTCTACCCAAGGTACACATACACCAAGTATCAAAGCAAGCAGGCTTGTAGTTTTCAAGAAGAAGTCGAAAAAGTAAAAAGTATGATAAACTCCGCTCAACAAAGTCAACAGCTGAGCTAAAAAGAAAAAACTTAATATTTTTTTTTTCTGAGTCATGAAACAAGGTTTGAATGAATTTGTTTTGGCTATGTTGAAAATATTACACATTTTAAACAAAAAATTGCATTTAATAATTGCACAAATAGTACTGTAGATTTGAATAGCCATATCATTATAACATAATATGCATAGTTATGTGTATTAAAAAAATAAAATTGTTGGCATAATATCACAACCCATCAAATAATATTTTCAGTTGTAAATATTCTGTATTTTGTCACCCTTATTTCCATCAGTTCTTTAAAACTGGACTGAACTATTTTAATTTAAAAAGCATCTTTCATAAAACCCTTGTCTGACTACAGCCATTGTATACAAATTGAGATAGTTATTAACAACAATTTAAAACCAATAAATGAACATGCCTATGATGTAATCTTAAATTAAAACTGCACAACCTTGATTCAAAATGAGAAGCATGGTCTCTTAGAAAATTGTCTAAAACAAAATCCATATTAAATATTTTTTAACCACTTTTTACACTAATTTACATATTTGTTTGTAACATCAAAATCATGTCAGTTTTGTAACCACACATGATATGAAGTTACTGCATGACATGTGGTAGAACCAGGCAGAACAAAATTAACAATATTATACAACAGCAGCAATTGTTCAACAACAGACATCAATTTTTGGGTGGACTGTTAAAAAGCATGGGCAATGGCAGAAACATTATGCAAAATATTTTTTTCTTCACTTGGTTTTGTGCTAATTTTTTGTTTTAGAAGTTGCTGTAAGGTTTTTATTTCTTTTGTGTGTTACATATTTTCCTGTAGGATTATTTTCTTTTCTGTGCACATTTTTTTTTTCAATTCTGCCACCACTCCTTTGATTTTTCAATGGTCCACCCCTTACATACAGGTATACCATGGATTAGTATTATATTAAATATTTCATGGCGCTGAAAGTTAAGTAGTTTTCTTTTCATTATTGCAATATATATATATATATATGCCTTTAGAAAAGTTTGATTTGCAAGGATAATTGTGTGCTCATATAGAGCAATTCTGTGCGTGGTTATCTAGCAACTAGAGAAGTCACAACTAGTCTACCAATATTAACATTATTCAAACTACTGACATGAATTAAGGAAGTCAAACCGAAAAAAACAATTCTGGAAGTTAAAGCAACACTGTTGTGACATTATTCTGTTATATCATCATGCTTCTGTTCAAAACATAAATATTGCTCACAATAAATCATGTCAAAATGTGGAAGCTCCTATTGTTAAATCTATCAGTGTTAGTTTTATAACATTCTGACAAGATGTATTCATTAAGGAAGATGATGTATTTGAAAAAAAACAGAAGTTAAATTTAGACTTTACTTTCATTGGTTTATAGATACAAGCATTGAACTTTCATACCCATATATGGTGATACATTATGAAGTTGCAGAATCTGTGATTTCTTGTTTATATTTATATTTATAGGAGCAATAATGATCTGTTCTATTAGGCCAGAAAGTACCGTGGTTGATTGTGATTATAATATTTAGTAATTAGTCAACATGCATGGAAGCATACAATGGAATAGAACTTGGCCCACCGTTTACTATTTATAGTAATTTTTTTATTTTAGCCATGAATATTTTTTTAGACAATCTAACTTATTATTCATGAATTACTAATTTACATTTTCAACTGAATTCTTAATTCCTCAGACAGCATTGTCACTGAATTTCAAAATAAAATGTCAAAAATAGTATGGCAACTGCTGACCTCTGGCAATTAGCGGTACAGACCAGCTAACCAATTCCAATCTCACTAATTCGCATTTAAAGCGGGAGGGTCCTCACCTGCGCGAGAATTGAGTCCCAAGCGACGATAACAACACATGCTAAAAATGCAAAGGCTCATGGGTGGACCATTGTTTGTAAACAATGACACGCCATGACCATCTGACGTATGCGCAGGTGAAGACTCCCTGCTTTAAATGTCTTTTTATTATGTGCAACCTTTATCACATGTTACCAGAGTGGCCTGCCTTTATATCTTATCTATATTTTACCAAATTTACTAATATCTGTGACATATCACATATCTGTGACATATCACATATCTGTGACATCACATATCTGCAAATATATTAAAGTTGATCAGATAACATCATCTTCATCGGTTGAATCCTCCTCAGCAATTCTGGTCAAATTGTTGTCCATACAATTAGCATAATGACCATTGTTGAAAGATCTTGAAGACTTCTTTCGAAGAAGAGCTGAGAGAAATAAAAAACAAAAAACAACATCAGTTCATTGAAATACGTGCTCATTGGTGGGGGGTCGGTGGGCATTACCTCAAAGTAGTTGTTTACAAGTCGAGGAAGCCAATTACCGGTACAGACTCATTAAAAAACACTCCATATAACCGACCATTTTCTGTTTACTGCGAGATCCTATGTTATGCGTGCAATCAAACATAAAATCAGGACAATTAAAGGTTATGATGTTGTAGTGATGTCTAAACATTACAGGGGAACACAAAAGTATTTTGGGGGTATGATCAAATGATGTACTACTATACACCTATGACGATGATGAAGCAAAGACATTAGAAAGAGATTTCTATTGTCTTTGGATGAAGTGAGGTTATTTCAATGCAATATTTCCCTCTAAAAGATCAGCATTCTTCCAATTTCTGTTAAGAAAGTTTTTTTTTTATTATATGATGATTTTAGATATCTAACTTGTTATGTTTATTTTAACACCTCTATAAGGTTGTAATAAAGAATTATCTTATCTTATCTTAATGCATACACATTTGACAGAAAAAATAATACCTGCAACACTGAGTGAGTCTCTCTTGTCAGCTTTCTGCCAACGTTTCAGTTTACCATGTCTCTTCTTCCACAGTCCTGTATACAATACAGCACCAGTCAGCAACAAGAGAAGGAATGTCAGACTTCCCAATGCCCACACTGCATCTTTATTTCTGCCAAGCGGTACACTTATCTCCATACACTGGACACCACTGCAGAGCTCATCAACAGACGATACTGTATCCACTGAAACAATTTCTGATTCGTTCTGTTTCTCCACAGTCTCAGATGATGGAACAACCTTCACTGCTCCTGTTGGTGATTTTTGTTCTAATTTAGTCTTTGTTGCAGTGATAACTTTTTCTTTTGTTACTAGTTTTGTCGGTGGTGGTGGTGGTTTCGTAGCGATTTTTGGTTTAGTGATGACCTTTGCTTGTTTTGATGGTTTGACTGTGACAATGTGTGGCACAGCAGTTAATTTATCCTGTGCTCCCTTTGTTACATCAAAATTTTTTGCTGCTGTAGTAGGTTTGGCAGGTGGGATGTTTAATTTTGTGATCTTTGCTTGTGTCGTCGGTTTGACTGTGATGACCTTTGGATTTGTGACGAGTTTTACTGCAGTTGCTGGCTTGATTGCTGGGATATCTGCTTTGGTGGTGACTTTTGCTTTTGTTGTTGTTGTTTCACCATTTTGTTCAATTATTTCAATTTCACCTTTCTCAGTAGTGGTTTTTGCTGCATTGTTTTCTTCCTCATCACTCACAGCAACGTTTGCATCATCAGTTAAACCTTCTTCATTGTTAACTTCTCTTTTTGCAACTGATAATATTTTACTTTCTTCCTCATTTTGGGAGGTTCTAACACCAAATTTCTTTCCTTTCTTATTTTCCTCATCATCAGTCAGCTGTGCTATAAAACGTCTAAGTGATTGCACATCATTTTTTAACTGACTACTTGATTCTTTATATTGCATAGATTGATAATCCTGAATATTGGCAGCGAATTCTCTCAGGGAATATTGATAGTTATCATCTTTTTTGCTGATGACATCTGGCACCTAAGAAAGAGAAGATCATAAATTGCAGTTAGAAAAAATTCAGATACAAATGATGAATAATTACAAAAAATTACAAGACAGTTAAAGTATGTACCATCTACTGTAAAGTCTATGGTTAAAGTTATAGTTATAGTTAATAATGTTTTTCCTAATAGATTTTTTAATGTTTGTTTTTGTCTAATCAGTGAATAAACTATGCATGTTGACCAAATTTGGTTTTCAGCATAAAAATGAGCTATTTTATACTAATTTGTAAATATTTACAGGGTACAATGGTCTACACACATGAGCTGGATATTACTGCAGTGTTGACTTGTCTTTATTGCACACTACCGGTACATGTATGTGCAGTGCGTCCTTTAAGCTGATATGATACCCCAGTGATGCAGCTGTGCTAGTCGTACACTGACATAGCGTTCTTTGAAAACTTCTTCAGGAAATTTATAATATGGTAAAAAAAAATTCACATTTTATAAACAAAATAAGGCCGATCTTCCTAGCAGTCAACAAGATTTACTTGATTTAGGGGGATTCTATTATGACTTAGTATTCCTACAAAATCACTGATGGCATCATCCGCATGTATGGTGCAAATTGTAAAAACCTATTTTTTCTTATCTACCCGGTACCTCAGTTTTTTCTAAGATTAAAACATTATCACAAAAGTAAACAAGAGTGACATGTTAGATCGAAAGAAATAACCGCACTGTCAGTCTGTTTACTAGTTGTCTGAGGAGAGACTGAAATAACAGCGAGTACCGGTACCAAAATAAACTGATCAGAAAAAAACACCCTCTTGCTACATGTACATGTACAATTTTTAGGATGATTTTGAAAATAAAAACTTGCATATCTATATTAAATGTTGATTGTTGGTTTGTAGACTTCAAGCAGATTACATTAAATTGTTCTATGATTCTACGTGTTCAAGCATGTGTAAAATTAAATCCCCAAAAAACTTAAAAATACCACCATTTTTAATGCAATATTTTTCAGACTACTAAAATTGCTGATACACATTTTTTCACATATTTTTTCTACAGTTATTTGTTAATTTTGGACCAAATGATGGTAGATGGTATCCTCATTGGCTATGGTCAACAGAAAACCTAGTTAAGGAGCTATTAAATATTTAAAATTAATGGTTACATATTTGGTACACGCCCAATACATGTATTAAAACATACTGTAAACTGATTTTACTGCTAGAAATTTTAGTGATATCATTTGTGATATCGCAATTTCTGCTGTTTAGATTTGGAAAATTTTAAAGCAGTTTATAGTTTATACGCATGACATGAGGTGTAAAGATGTGAACAAATATGTTAATGCAATGTATAATACAATGTGTGTGAGATAAAATAGACAGATACAATGTACTAGCTGGTCAATTAACATGAACCTTACCCTAACCCCACCTACATGTACCAATTTTTTTTGTAACATTGCACTCACATCTAAAAAAAAATACTGTAGCATGAGTAATACACTTCTGATAAGAGAAATTTTGTTTGATTACCAGTATTCCATGTACCTGACTTGCATATTCAAAGAAAATTTTTCTCTACATTGTATTTTGATTGATTTTTCTATTCTAAATGGCCAACTGAGTAGGACTTATGGAGGCCGAAAGAAGAATGTCTGACATTTACTGAGAAATAATTGAATTTAACTTTTATGCTTAAAAAATACTAACCTTTTCACCACCAGTTCCCATTTCTCATCACAAAATAGTCCTGTTTATTCTCTGCAGTTTTTTCAGAAGATTGGGACATTTTTTGTGGAATTTTTTGAGTAAAAACTGAAAATTGACTCAAATTTTGTCTGTTGGCTCCAAAAAAGTTCATTTCCAAAGACGAGAAAGTCTGGTGGTGAATAGATCAAAAAAGCCTCACATATATATTTACCACTTTGTAAGTATTGTGATTTATTTCTCTGAACTGCTCATCATAAAAAGTTTAAAATATTCAATTGGTAGTAATTTTGTGCATTAAACAGACATGCCATATTTGATCACATTACAGAATCTTTAAATTGCAGACATTACAAAAATATGTCAACAGTTTCAAATCAATTTAAAGAAAAAATATACAAATATTTTGAAATGATTTCATTTATTGTTTTCATTACTGAAGAAAAAGAAAATTAAAAAAAAAACAATATGAATTAATTACTTCATTTTTTCCATCATGATTTGCACACAATAAATGTCAATGCAATCTGTCAATTTTTTGTCACTTTACGAGGTGGCCATCCATAATGTCAAGTGAATGTATTATAGTGCCGGCTGTTGCCATGTTAGGAAGCAGATGAGCATTGGTTGACGATGTTACAAAATACATCCACTCACCATTCAGGAGTTGTATACATTATTACATGTTGAATAACTGGTAGAGACAATACATGTAATGTATGTTCCTGTCTATTTAATATATTTATTTTACAACATGTTACATCGAGAAAACATGCATTTTAGATACATGACAAAAAAATGTTGCTGGTGCACTAATCCTGGATTTAAATATTAAATAAATATGAATAACGTCCATTCATAGCAACTAATCTACCTTTAATACTACAAATGTCATCCCACCCATGGCAGAACTAGATACTATGAAAAATTAACATATTTGGAAATATTTATGGCATGAAAAACGACATTCAGTGTTTTGTATGTAATATATTTTAACTGATTACTGAAGAGTTTCATACATGACATAAAGACTACTGGGTAGTTGTATTTACAATGGATTCTATATTTGTTATAAATATTTGTCACTATTTGTCACCTAAATATTTTTTTTTTCAATTATATTTTGAAAATTTTGATCAACCCTGTAAGCCAATGTTAATTTATGACTATCATTTCCAAAAAATGTTGGTGGTGGTGGTTTAGTAGCGATTTTTGGTTTAGTGATGACCTTTGCTTGTTTTGATGGTTTGACTGTGACAATGTGTGGCGCAGCAGTTAATTTATCCTGTGCTCCCTTTGTTACATCAACATTAGTGATGACCTTTGCTTGTTTTGATGGTTTGACTGTGACAATATAGAATCGGTGTTAAAATCATTCAAAACGGTTAACAGGAAAATAAAGTTAGGAAAGGCGAGTGAAAATACTGTACACAATTTATCAATTTGTTGTCATCAGTAATGAAATTTAAATAAAATGCAACAATCTAAAAATGGTATTATATTCTTCTGTGTTGTTTTGACTGATCAAAATAAATAAATAAATAAATAAAGTTATTGATAGTTTACTATTTAATGAAAAAGTACAAACTGAGGACAAATTTTTATTAAATTAATATTAATTCTTTTTCTCTATCACACAATATGTTTAATTAAATATAGCACGCGATGTGGTGCCGTGACCACCGCCCTTTAAATAAATGGTATAAATCCTGATTGAACAAATAGCAAAGAGCAAACTTTGTACCTACCTATCATTACAGTTTAGAAACAAACACGCAGAGATAACATGTGAAAATGGGCTAAAGTTCAAAAATGTGTGTTGAATCACGGAGCTTGGAGCTGAGCCCCATGGCTGAATGAAAATAACAGACAAATAGAAAAATTAATTTACTATTAATAATTATTTATGTACATAAACAACATTATTGGGACTTTTGTAAGTATTGTCATTGTCAAGTTTAATTGGTCTGTATGATTTTTATCTTGTCCTCAAAATATTAATGTTAATAAACATATTAAAAGTTTGATTGAATTATTGATGGTCGGAAACAAAAATGAATTATATACATATATTGCAAAATAAGTATTACTAAAGTCGTGTTCAAAAAGTTTTTAGCAGCGCATACATTCCATGATCACAATGTTGAATTTTCAAAGTTCGTGTCAGTATTATATATATATATATAGATTTTTTTTTTTTTAGCTTCAGAGCAGTTATTTGGGCAAGTGTCAACATACCTCGATCGTCCTCTTTTTCCGACTTTTAAATATACTCCATAGACGCTCGTCTTTCTGTTCGAGTGGTCTGTTGTACTTTTTTAATCGAAGTGGGTTACCCTGAATTTCTGAGTAAAACACGTTCCAGATAACGAAAAATGACAGCAACGTAAACGGAAGACTTCTCCAGCGACAACCCATCTTCCTGTTGTTATTTCCTAATTGCACGTAAAACTGTATTGAAACATTTTCACGGTCGCATATTCGTCCTCAAATAAAATATTAAATGTTTCGATATATTTATATAATGTCACTTCACATATAACATATAAATGCAATTTTGTGCATTTCAAGATTTTAATTTGTTTAAAAATTGTATTTATGGACATTTTGTGAAATTATTACTAAACAAGTACGCCAGTACGCCAATGAAAACACTTTACAACGAAGTCACAAGCTACGAATGACACAATAAAGGAGTATACATTATATGATAGGGGTGTGAGATGTATCATTATTAATATATAGTATGAAACACACTAAAATTTATGTAAATTATGTCGTATGTTTATTTTGTTTTCTAATAAATTACATAATAAAGAATATGGTTTAATTTCCATATTTAATTTTTGACACTGAAACAAAACTGTATGTTTTCATAATTCTTGCGTTACCCTCTGCTAAGAATCAATCGTCCCATCAGCACTTCCTGTTCGTGAAGCGTACGATTCAACTTACCGTGGAAGTTTGTTTTGTTCCTAATTTTAACGTAACGTAAACACACGTGAGCTACCATGGGGAAACGACAACACCAGAAGGACAAAATGTAACTATACAATATTTTCCTTTATTATTTGACAGCTGTTAGCGCAAAACTGACAGATCGTATTGTTTTCCGAGATTCAATAGTTCACGTTTGACAGATAAAACCTAGTAGTACGTCCATGATAAAACCTGACAAGACTGTTTATGAGTGTGACAAACCACAGTTCAACAGTGATAAATAAAATGTTGACTGTGTTTATCATGTTTAACTAATAACCCAGCAAACAAGACCGTTTGGTCTTTTCGACAATACACACAGAGATGTCACAGTGATTTACCCGGGGGTTAATGGGCTCTGTCACTACACGACCCACAGGGGCTCCTGTGATACGACCATGTGGCTAACAATAACGTTATCAAACTGATGTTCATTGATATTTACACTACTAGGCACTTTGGAGTAAATATGACTAGCTCATGATGATTTACCAATAGGATGGAAGAACTGGATGCAAAACTCAATCAAAGATATTACATACGTTTTATGAACTGTCACAGTTTTGAAAAAAAAATACATGAAAATATTGATTTGTAAAGAATGATATTTTTCAAAGGTTCTTTTGTGTAGCACACAATGTCAGTCTTTGTGATTACCCTGTATGTGTGTATGTGTGTATGTTCCACCATATACACTATACTGTCTAAGGTTCCACTGATATCTCAATAACCAATTGTCACTTTTCACTGAAATTTGGTACATACAGTAGATGCTTGCTCTAGGACAATGACCACCCCTGATTAGTTTTTGGTTAAAATATGTGTATATTAATTACATAATTTGCATAATAATTATCCATAATTGATGATTACACTAATGAATTTACATTTGTTTAATTTGAATTAAGTACACAGTATATACCACATTTGCTCTTTTTTCCCAAAATTGCATTTGAATCAATAATACTCACTTTGACTATATAACACCCCTGTAATTTACATATGTGTATATACACTACTAATAGAGCAAATACGGTACTGTGATTGACCAATGACTGATATGTTATTATTGATACAGGTACATTACGTACACAGAGTGGACCACACAGTATGGTGGTAAAAAGGCTGGTAAGTAAACTATCTTTGTACTGTGAGGGAAGCTTGAGCTCAGGGATTTCTCTAGAAAAAAAGTGCAACAGGGAGCACTGCAATTCAGCAACGCCACCAAGTGGTCAGACAGGTCACAGTTGTAGACTGTGGCCACATGTGATCCTTAGTCAATCAGAATTGTATGGTTGCCAGAGGTAAGGGGGTGTATGGCCATGGCATGAAGGCACTGTTCCCTTGTTTAAAAAATTTCATTGATCTTATCGAAAAATAGAGGTTTGTATCTATGTACAATGTCTTAATGTGAAAGTTGCTTTCCTACTTTGTAAATATGTGAAACATCACTCTCAGCACAAACTAAAAACATAAGATATGTTAAAATGATGCTATTTTTAAAAATCACCTATATATAAGTAAATATCCTCTCCTCATTTTGCCACTCACTTCATTTTGAGAGTACTGGTACTGAAGGCTTTTATCCCTAAGACAAACATATTTACAGGATTTGATGTTAACTTTTGAACTCACTTGTCCCATATACCCTCACTTGCACTCGAGCTTAGTAACCGTCATTGATGTTTTTGGCTTCATGACTCGTTCATAAAAATAAATTCATAAGCTATATTCAGTCAGCGATACAAGGAATACTAATTTCTCACTATTAATGTGATTTACCAGCGTTCCATTGGAAAAGAAAACAATTAAGTTCTTGTTGCCACTTTTGCCGTAACAAACGGACGAAACGCTTTAAAAAAAAAATGGCTGCCAGGTCAGAGGTCAATGTCTAAAAATACGTATTTTAGTTATTTCAATATTAATGAGCTCATGAATATTAATTAGCGACCGGCACTCAAATCAAGCTGGCCAGAACCCTGATGATGATATTTTTGGTAAAAAGTGATATTTTTGACTTCTTGTTGAAAACAGCAAGTTTGATTGCTTTTGATACTATACATATAGGTACCTTGGGTAGACCTCTTTCAGATTTGTTCATTTTCTAATGATATCTTCAGTTTATTAATTGAAATGTGCATTGCTAACAGCGGAGCTATCTTAGCCTAGAGGCTGCATGTCAATTTCGCTATCATAGAAATACAACTTGTTGGTAATGTAATTCTAATTAAATCCAGTTGTGTCATTCCAAAAAAATGTCACAGCGTTGTGGCTTATTTGCATTAATTAATTAATTAATTAACATAACATTATAAAGTGTGAAAAAATACTGATAGTATCCATCATTGACTTTTCAGGTTCTGATATTGGTGAGAAGGCTGCTTTCAGACGATTGCCTTTTGATCATTGCAGGTTAGTGATTGATTTATTACATTGTGTAAAGAAAAGATGATCTTCCTCAAGATATAATTTTCTTGATGATCTTACAAATGTAAATAAGAAGGTACAGGCCAAATTGTAAAGTGGATGTCATCTTTTTCATACTTTGATTGTCATGGGTTAATAATGCCCTAAGGATATTGAAATGAAACAAGAGTTTAGAGTTTGAGAAACAAGAGTTGGAATGTTATGGTATTGGTGTCTATGGTAAAATTAGTTCCTCCATATTTCAAGATTTTGATCAGTGATTTTATATGGAAAAAGTCGCATATTATTACTACTGAATTATTCTTTAGATGAAACACTAAAATTCGTATTCATGGTTTTGTTTTTTTATTGACAAATACTGTTTTGTGTCCTACAAATGCAACTTTTTGTTTATCATAAAACATAGGCTGATTTGGTCTACAATATGTATGGAACAATATTTAAAAAAAATATGTTTTCATTCATATTGCATCTTTAACATTTGGCTTTGATCTCACCATACGTTTTACAGTTTCTAACAATACTCTCATATTAACAATTGGTTTGATGTGTGTCTCAGATGGTAAATAGATAGGATGTTTTGTTTTTCAAGGTTTTAAAATTGAATGTAACCAAAGTCAGCATGACATAAAGTATCACAATACATTTTTTGCTTACTCCTAAAAAAATTAATGGGGTGGGGTGGGGGTGTCTTCACTTGCGCACTAGCAGGAATTAAGTCGATAACAACACATGCTAAAAACGCAAAGGCTCATGGGTAGGCGCTTGTTTGTAAACAATGACACGCTATGGCCATCTGATGCTTGTGCATGTGATGACTCCCCCACTTTAAATATATTTTCTGTTGAGTAAGGAATTGACCCTTAGAAACTCTAGGAGGGGAGATTGTGGAAAAAACTGTAATTAGGTCTGAGCTTTTTCCCGGATGATATTGCTATTTTCCCCCATATTTTTACCTTTTTCAACCCCTATTAAAGAGACACCTTGTGATAGTGAAATGTACATTGAACCTGTTTTCTCTATCTGACAGTCTCTCATTGCAGCCATTTGAACATCCTTACTGTACACCAGATGGTACAATATATGATTTGACGAATATTATGCCATATATAAAGAAGTTTGGAACCAATCCTATCACTGGAGAGGTGAGACGCGACTACTCTGTGTTTTGTTATACTGTGATTATGTTTTGCGTGCGTCATAGTCTCTTTTCTAATGTATTTGCTCAATTCAAATCTTATTAATATGATTGTTATTTTTGTTTAATGTCGCAGCCAATGGAAGCAAAAACATTGATCAGATTATATTTTCATAAGAATGCTGAAGGTAAGGAAAAAAATTTTTTAACTTGTCACATTATAGACTATTTGAAAACCTTGATTTTTGTCAAGTTTCATAACTTGCATAATTTTGTCTATATTTAAGTTCTGAACAAAATTAGCCAAGGAATTATAGAAAATACATAATTTTGCACCAACATTTTTGAAAAAATATGTCATTTAACAGGTTAATGTGCTAGTCATAGTTTCATTGGTTACTGAGACTTGTATTTAAACATGCACGACAAGATAGTATTGACTGACACATAGCAGAGGTTCATGTGATCCAATACTACAGTATCTGAATGCATAATTTGTGGTACTTTTGTGATAACATTATTATTATACATATTTTTTTACTGATAGACAAGATTTGTGCAAGTGTGACAATGCTTCTATGTCTCGTATAAACAATTGTGATGTAAATATGATTCATATTTTCCCAATTTAAGTAAGATGTATGAAAGACATTTGAGAACTCTTATATGGGGTGGGGGTATGAGTGATGTTTAGGACCCATTGAATTATATTGTTTTTGTGGCCAGTGGTATAATAATGCAATTTATAATATTATTTCATATTCTATGAAACACAATGTGTAAAAAACATTCACTTATTTGCTGAATGATGTAATCAATAAAAATAAATACTTTTGGAATGTATTATGGTGTTGTTCGGGTCAAAATGAAATCAAAATCAAGATGGGTCAGGGTCAGTTTGTTCAGATACAGGGGAGAGAGGTCTTACAAGAATAAATAAGATTGTTCGTGACTGTAGGTATACTTGTGAAGTTGCAAACTGAAATATTGTGGCCACTGATAATCTTGTTTTTTCCAAATCAAAATTTGAAAAATTGGATAGATTGGTGATCGAAAAAAAAAGTTTTGACTTGCAATGAGGATTCTCCTCTTACTACATGCTTCATGTGTTGTATCTTACAGGGAAATATCACTGCCCTACCACATACAAGGTGTTCACAAAAAACTCTCATATTGTTGCTATAAAACCAACCGGTAATGTCTATGCTTATGATGTAAGTATCTTCAACATACTATAACATAGTAATAAAAATGCTTTCTGAACATGGTAAAGGGATTTGATTTACTTTGTCTTGATGTACCCAAACTATATTTTATGTCACTCTGATAATGTGTTTTTAACATCTCTAATATCTATAATTTTTATGAGCATCATAAGGAACTCATGTGATGTACACACAAACTAATTACCGTACATAGCACCCTCTAACAGTTCATGATCAAAATCTCTTGTTTTTTTCACATTGCGCAAAGTAGCAAAAAATTATTGCATTAGGAAATTACAAACAAACTTGTATACCTAATACTGACCTAATAGAATTGTCACCCCTTTTTTTAGCAGTACTCCATTGAACAATCACCAGCTCTTGTCTGCTTCTATATCTTTCAACAGCGCCTCCAGTGTTCAATTTCAGCAAAAGCTGCTTGCCATCTTCCAAAATCGAGAACAAAAAATTGGGGTCTAACCAATGATATTTTTTTTCATCAACAGGCAGTAGAAACGCTGAATATCAAAACAAAAAATTTGCGTGATTTACTGACTGATGAGGCTTTCACACGTAAAGACATAATTACATTGCAAGATCCGAATAATTTGGATAAATTCAACATAGCTACGTTCCATCATGTCAAAAACAGTCTCAAGGCCAATGATGAAGGTAGGTTGTATCAGGAAGCAATGCATGGTATAATAAAATCATTGCTATTTTTCTATCACACACATAACAATAAGTACATTATTTTGTGTATGGCTATTAAATTTTAACTATTTGTAATGCCTCCTGCCATACACCCAAATTAGAATATGCATGGTAAACCAAAATTGCTTTAGTTGTAAACTGGATCACTAATATGATTGTCATTTAGGCATTAAAGTGCATGTGCTACTAATACCAGAAATACAGCGTTATAGAAAACATTTGCACTGGTGAGAGATGTGGCCCAATGGTGGCGCATTTCAGACTACTATAGTACATGTATCTCTCACTGAATTATTACTGAAAATTATTTAAGGGTGTATAATTATAATAAGGTTAGCTGCAACATATGCACTCGGGAAGTATAGTAATTTGTGGTATTTGCAGACTTTTGTTTTATGTGAATGTCTTTCAACTCATCGTCATTGGATTTGTTCATTGTTTCAAAAATACACCTGTTCACCGAGTATACATCCTTTCTCACAGTTCAACATGCAAGTGCCCAAATATAAACCAGCGAGGTTATGAGAAATATCTAAATAAAAGTATTATGCTATAAATAATCCATTCTGTGAGTTAGCATACCGTATCATAATAGAAGCCCATATAAATCTAAAACCACGTTTCTTGTTGCTGAATCATTGAAATATCACCTATTTTGACTATGGAATTTATGTAATTCATGTAATTGTATAGAGCAAATATGGAATAAAGCCATTCAGGACACACTTGTAAATCTTAAAAGATTGTTCACTTCATTATCAACTTTCAACTGTTTTTGTTGAAAATACAAACCTTGTTCTCAAAAATGAATTACGTTCAGTTGAACATGGATTGTGTAAACAGCAGAATAAAAAGTGTCTGTGATATTACGTATTTTAACAGTATCACTTACGGATGAATAACTTGTGGTCAACAGTTACCAGGACATTTTTATGAAACTTGTCACATTCAACATTTTAAAATGTTCAATATTCTGTGTGACACTTTTAGGTACTGTACTGTAAATATACGTTAATGAAACTATTTTATTTTCATTTACTCTTGTTACCGGGAAAAGTCCAAGAAGACACATATGGTTTAGCTAGGCCGCACATATATAGGGGAGAGTAAATGAGACCAGTCTTAATATCAACTTATACAAATGTATATATATATATTGTATCATGGTAAATAAAAAAAATAATAAATACATTTTCATTTCAGAAGATGTAAAAAAAAAAATGAAAAATTGTTTTTTTGACTCAAAATTACCTTACATTGGTAATAACTGTCATTTTGTTGTATAAATGATTCCTTGAATATAACATGGGGTGTTTGTCACTGAGAAGAAATGCATGTTTAATTGAAGGAAAGGTCTTGTATGGATACTACAGCATAGCAGCACTGTATCAAAGCATGATTGAAGGAAAGGAGGGTTCCACATAAACACAACAGTTTAGCAACTCTGAACCTAAGCAATGTTTGTTCAAACGAATGGAGAGTCCTGCATAAATACATCTATAGCAACTCGTATAAAAGTTTAAAGATTTACAACAAACTGTATGTGGGGGACCATGTTTTGAGTTTAGGTTACAGAACTGATTTAATTCTTTCATCCCTTAGATTTACAATTGGTAATTCTTAGATCTGTATCAAGATATAATCTAGTAAGTTCACTCGTATGCTAATCATGTCCATTCTTTATGTAAATTAGCCATTTTGTGAAATGTTCTAACATGTGACCATAAGTCATGTGCTCACACTGTCAGGTGACCAACATCAAATGCAAGTCTGCCTTGTTGCAATTTCCTTTTTCCGTACAATGAAACTAAGAGTTAATAGACCCGTATGCTGGTGGAAATGGCTGACCATATCCAGTAGGTGAATGTTCATCTATTTGATTTGTGGAACTACTATAATCGATATTTCCAACTGGAACCACGACGCAGCTGACGATACTACTTATCAATATAATGAACAAAAGTACACCTAAGGCTATAGAAACTGCTGATGAGATTTTCTGAACATCTTCGCAACTGAAAACGTTATCTGGCAAATCTGACATCCATTTCTTGCGATAGACTTTCGGTGTGTGGCACTGCAGATTGGGGGCTTTATTGGAATGTTTCATATACCAGTGTCTGTATTGGGACAGGCTGCAACCGCAATTCCACGGATTGTTGTCGAGTTTTATCTGGATGGAGTTGCATCCTGCAACGTCCCAATCAAAGCTGGAAAAGACATCTCCGCGAAGGTAAGGAATCTGACTTTCCGAGATGTCAAGATGTAGAGTTGGACAGTCAGATCCATACTTCGTACCAAGCCCATACAGTGAAAATAATCCACTTTGCCAGTTTTGATGAGTATGATTCAAATACAGATACTTTAACTGTGGGACATGCGCGAACACATCACCAACAAACTGTGCCCCATTGTTCCAGGAAAGTCCCAAGTATTCAAGATGTTGAAATATATCCAGGTCTCCTTCATATATATTTTCGATAAAATCAGATTGGTTACTGAGTTCCAGTATTCGCAGCTGGACATTCTGTGCTGGTTCACCACGGTCAATTTGAAAAATCTTATTGCCGTCAAGGTAGAGCGCATGCAATGTCCTTGTCCCATTCCAAGATGGCGACATTGTTATTTGGTTGTAACTTAAACGCAACGTTCTTAGTCGTGAGTTTTGTATATAGATGTAATCCTCCGGTTGTAACCAGTAAATATTGTTATGACTACAATCTATTTCTAGTAATTCAGTATTCCTGATGAGGTTTGGCAGCTTATTAATTTTATTATGATCAAGAAGTAAAGTTTGAAGTTTCTCAGCCGGTGCTAATCCATCCAACATTACGTACTCGATATTGTTGTGACTCAAAATCAAAGTCGTCAGTGTCTGCAGACCTTCAAAAGATTTGGGATTGCTAACAGCTGAAAACAGATTGTATGACAAATCCAGTGTGATGATATGCTTTAAATTGATGAAGGAATTCTCTTGGATTTTCATCAAGGAATTATTGCTCAAGTTCAAAGAAAATCTGCCTTCCTCGGGGCTAAGGACAAGCTGAGGAGCGGTCGGACCTAGGTCATTATGGGCTAAATTTAGTACACACAATTTGGTTAAATTGGAGAAAACTGAATTTGAGATACTCTGATGAACTAACAGATTGAAACTGAAATCTAATTCGACAAGGTTGTGCGTGTCCTGGAATGAATCATTTTGTATATGGCTCAATCGGTTGTTGGATATGCTTAATGCTTGTAGATCATTAAGTCTACTCAGCGACTCAACAGACACTGTGGTTATTCTGTTATAGTCCAGATATAGAAATTTAGTTTTCTGAGGGATATCTTTGGGGATCAGCGTGAGTTGTTGATTTGTACAGGTGACAGTGTCAGGATGACATGTGCAGCGGTCAGGACATGCAGATGACTGTGCCAAGATTACTGTTGGTAGTAGTAGCAGTAGAACTGGCAGTAATGTCGAACCCATTTTATCTGCAAGAAAGAAATAGAATATTTTTGTTATGGTTGTACCTTCCTGAATCAAATACAAGCCACATGTATTACGTCAGATATCACTTTTTATATGATTCTCCAGAGTTGTGCAAATGCCATGTGATTTATTTTTGTCACAGATTGTACTCTGGAAATGTTTTCCCTGAGAACCCATTCTCATAAACAAATGGCAACTCTGAAGAGATGGGGAGAGAAACAGACATACAGATAAAAAGATCGTATACTGGGTGAGAGGGTGGATTATAAGGATTAGAAAATTCGGGAAAAGCATTGATTATGAAAGCTAAACTTTGTATAGATGTAAGAGATGTTTTGAAACTATGTGATTTGTGAACAGTGAATACTAGTATTACATTGCGTAGGCAACGTTCCTCCGTAACGAGAATGGGACTATTAGGTTTACTTTGATCTTATCAGTCAGGGTGACGCGCGAATGAATTGTTTAGCTGCAACGTTGAGCTAGCTCCATCGTCACACGATCCCGATATTTATGCATCACCGTATCATCGGCATGTCGTGATCAGAACTAAGATTACAGTAATATGAATTAGATGCTTACCGTGCAGTTGTATTGTTGATTTTGAAATTGTCAGTCCTGTATTTTTAAATCCGGCAAATGGACGTTTTCCCTTTCTGTTCAAAATGTAGGTCACAGGATCGCCAGATTAATAAGGTTATATTTCAGTTAAACGTCTGCGAATAAGACGTTTTTTTACGGAATTTAGCACAATGCAATTTCTGCATTACTATTTGCTAAGTTAAGAATTTAGACAAAACTGAAAAGAAAGTGATAGTCGATTTATTTATTTAACCTTAGTACCACGAAGGTATTAACCTCATAGATTTGTAATTGGTCACATGACAGCTATGTCATATATGACCTGCTGGTGACCTTCGCCAAAGAAAGAAGTCTGCGTACTGTTTATGTGTGATACCGGTAGATACGATTTATAAACTCTTGGCGGTAAATTAAAATATGGAAGCCTTAGTGTCCATTCATTCAGCTTTTTATTTTACTTATAAATTTTGAAAAAAATGTTTATAAATCGCATGACAATGTTCATTGGTTTATTATAATAATAATATTTATTGCATCTTTAGAAATACAGTATTTCTATCAGTACAGTAGCAACAAAAGTATAATAATAATAATGAAATAATAAAGAAAGAGAAAATATTATAATGTTAAGTATAAAAGTAAAATGTAATGTGTTAATTTTTTTTACTAATACTAATAAGTTTAATAATAATAAAACTAAGACTAATAATAGTAAAATTCAAAGCTATCAACTATCTATTCTTTCTTGAAAGGCTTTGTAAATAAACTGTGAAACCTTTTTTTATAATTTCACAATCATCTGCACTGAGCAATCAAATGAATGTATT